AGAGGAATGGATCACAGGTTGAGCGAATTGCGGTTGAAAGCCATTTTCAATAGCCGTGAGAATGAATGACGACGACTGAAACTGCGGGCTAACGAGGCTATGATCTTTAAAGAGTGGGGGATGTCACTCATTCCATTAATTACGATGACATCTTATGCTTACGGTGGCGGAATGAGACGCGTCAGACAGTGCTTCTATCGCTCCCAATCCTGTATCAGCGTTGTAGCTTCTACAAATGACGACTGGAGTCAAGAGCACAGTCATTCGATACATTTACCTCAGGTTAGTTTTGATCATCCTCAGGGTTTTCCGCCGGTCGTTTGGGTAAGTGGGAATCTCTCCATGACTCTAAAGAAAATTTTGTCATGGCAATGACTCTTCAACTAGGTACTCAGATGGAAAGATGAGAGACCATCATCAACGTTCATCCCAAACAGAGGAATGGCGGAATTTTCTCACAATGCCGTTTACTTTCTGAACGGGATACACATATTCATGGACAAAATGAGAAATAGATCTGGAAACCGCTTGATGGATGATATTCAGGAAAAAAATTGGGCTGTTTAGCGTCAGGTACGGTTTAGCTTCTGTTTGCTTATGGTACAACGCTAATTTCCATCGTACCTTGAGTGAGAAATTCCACATTCTTGAACATAGCATCTGTACCTTGATGCCCACTACGACTCTGAATTTCTTGCCTCTTTTCCACAGATTGGTACTCATTCATTTATCTCAGAAGATGAAAGACAATTTGTCTTAGAGGGAATTCGAAACCATAAGGTGTTTTGACTGTAAATCTAACGTTCTATTGACTGAGATGCTCTGCAGAGTAGATGAGCTGCCTTTGAACCACATGCACTTAACTAATGGCATCTTCATATAAGGCTTTTTGAAAACACCAGTAATATGAGTCAGCTTTGACCAACAAGAATTTCTTCAGAAAGTTTGGTCCAGTCAGAAGACCAAGCAATAGAATCGCCTGTAATTATGTTGGGAAATCATTTTTCATGCCTTATTTTGCAGTTGTACAGCAAAAGCCTAACATATGCAAAGATTACTGTCATGTCACTGCGTCCGCAGTTTAAAAACATGTGTCAGGTACAGGTAACATAATAAGCAATCGAAGTCGAATGATGCCACACGCGACAGTCGTCGACATACCTCCTTTGTCATTGGTCCTTTGCCAGAACATCATGCAAGGAATAGATTATTGGACACATATCCAGTGACGGTAATAAATCACGCCAGAAACAAAGGTGCTTTGAATGAAACTGACAGGAAGAGAATTTGCTGCGCCGAAGAAAATGGCCAAATGAACAACTGGGTCGTGCCCATGCAACCTCACAGCGGCGGCAGCTGCCTTTTAATCCGATGAATCTCGGTCTGTCCTAATCCAGCTGATCCATCGGCTACTGGCACGACGTCAGCTGCGGCCTGCACTCGCAATGAACCATCGCATAAGCACTGCTTAATTGTTTTTATAGTCGCGCTCGCCTGATCGCATCAAGTGCCGTTTTTATCCCAATTACTACTGACGCCCTCTTTTCCTCGTCTAGCCAAGGTAAACAGCCACTTGGCAGCAAGTCGACGCACCGTATGCTTGCTAGGGGATCCGTAGCAGAGGACGGCGAGGGACGGTCGGCTCAGCTACGCAAGATAACGGACTTCCTCTTTTACCTCCTTGCTGTGTAGGCCATTTTGCCTCCTCAGCGCCGTCCCTACGGCCGCCATTATAAATCCAGCACTGAACGACGCCGACAACACAGCATTGTTGTTCACGCCCTGATTCATCCACAGCGGTGACGAACGAACAGCAATGAACGGATCGGAACGGGACGGAACGAGGTGTGCTCAGAAGCTGGCGGGCATCAGTGGATAATTGCACCAGCGCCGCG